GTCAATGCCATTCAAAAGTTTTTTTCCCTCTGCTTCCAAGTCCTTAAAGTAGTGTGTGATGTAATGGTGAGAGTTCTCTGAAGAAAATCCTTCCATTTGAAACAAGGTGTCACAAAACTTGCTTATCTTAACACTACCCTCTTGCCTGGATGTAAGAATGATGTTACACTTTGGAAGGTCCCTGCTCTCAACAAGGTCAGAAAATATCTTTGTGAAATTAGATGGTGCTTCATCCAATCCATCAAGTATCAGCAGTACCTGGGACTGATTGGCATGGATGTACTTGAAGAAGTTCTCCTTTGCTGTTTCATCAATGTTTCGAGGAAGCAGCTGATCATCAATTGCTTCCCAGATGTTGCCTGACATGTCATGGCATTTGAGTAGGAAAAGCAATTTTATTTGTGGGAAAGAGGGGTCGGTTTCTTGACCATTGGCCCAGTCATATGCTATCTTTTGACAGTAAGTTGTCTTGCCCATTCCGCGTTCTCCCTCAATCAGAACAGTTCTGGGCTTGGAGCATTCTCTGTGAGGTTTGAAGACTGCAGTTATGTTTGTTACCAGTTCTGCGGCTGTTCGTCTAGTTTTGTCTCTCCTGACAATGGTTGGCCTGGTAAATATGTCATTAAGGTCAAAGTTGAACTCCTCACACCAAGGAAATGGTGAATGTCGCCCTTCACGCGTCAGGTAAAGTTGGCGAAGTCTTCCTATAAGTTCAGTTGGCTCATCAACATCTGGAATTAAAGTTACTGGTATGTATTATTAGTTTTAGATAAATAGAGGATTCATTGTGCTTTCAGAATATTATTATAATTGTAAGTTGTGAACGACAGAAAAAAAACCACTTACATCTCACATCTTCCCTCCAAAAAATTTAAACAACAAAATGCAAAAGTTTCACTGCAATTGGGCTCTTACTTTTGAGGTTACAGGGTACATTTTTTCCCTCAAAAAATAGAAAAAAAAATTTCATTTCCTTTTCTCTCTTTCATGCTTTAGAATGGGGAGAACTGGGAAAGAGAACATAAAGAAAGCACAGGAAAGGAAAAAAGAAAACAACTGAAAGGAAACAAAAAGGAATAAATAGAAAAATTAAAAAAAAATAGAAGAATGAAAGGAGAGTGAATTGGAAAATATGATTAACTGAAAGGATTAACTCTCTTCTGTCCTAATTAGGTCCCCTTCTTTTTTCTTCCCTTCCACTTCTTTATTCTAATTTTTTTTTTGCCCCCCCTTCCCTTCACACCACTTTTAATTGGTAGTTTTAAAATCTACCTTTTGGCAATGGTGTGTTAGTTGAAGCTTTCATTATTTCTTCAAGCATCCAGTGAATCTCATCCAGTTTCTCTTTGGTGTTATCGTCATCTCTTTTCCATTCCTTTAGAAGTTCTCTATAGTGTTCCTCAAATACAGGGTCCATGCATTCATTTTTCAGATCATCAATTGCCACTGCATATACAGGTCCTCCAAGTCTCACCAAGGCATCTTTAATGTCATGCCAATACCCATCAAATTTTGCATTATCCACAGATGCTTTATCAGCATGGGCATACACTGTATTTCTAAAGTATTTTACTCGCACAATGTCAGCTTCTGTGCTTACATCTGTGGCAGGGGGAAGTGCATCCCATCCAGTGGCTGGGGGACTAAGGCTACAAATGTTCCTAAGTAGGACTGTCAGAAGAGTTATGTCAAAGTTTTTTGACGATACTGAGGTACGTATTGGAGGGTAGAGATTTCCCCATTGTGTTGGATTTAAAACTCTCTTCTTTTGAAGAAGCTGAAGTTTGGAATGATGTGTCCTCAGGTTTTTGTGAAGATCACTCGGAGGATGAATGCTGTCAAAAGTGTCCCTTAGTACATAACATCCCACATCGACCAAAAGACGACAAAGTTTTGCATAATTGGTGGTCTCTTTTGATGAGGAAAACGACACTGGAACACCAGCTGTGGCCATTGTCTTCCTGACAAAAACAAATAAGTAAAGCCATTTATTAAAGAGGTTCTGATTCATTCTTTATGAACCAATACATCTCAGGGAAAATTATTCCAACTTAGACTCATTCGGACAGTTTCTCTTTGTGGATGGATATCAAGGCTCCCTTCTGTGATTTATATCATGTTGCACATACAGTATACAAGCAGGATACTCAGGCTGTGGAAAATTTGTGAAGAATAACTGTTCCGATCTGTCAAGCTCTGATCCATTACCCAAAAAATAGACAAGGTCAGAACTCTTTTTTGGCAGTGTAACCAGGTTTCTTGAGAATAAACGTTTAAGGTGAAACAAGAAAGTGTATTCACCGGGAGCACCTACAAAATTATAATTTTGAAAGCATGCCCCGTGCTATCTCACAATGCTTAACAAGCAATACATGAAGACGCGTAACGCAACGAGTTACGCGTGACAGAACAATAACGTATTAAAGATGTTATGAATCATTTCAAAGATCCTGAACTTAGAAGAAGAATCAGGGAGGTTTCCTCAAAAATTGCATCAGTTGAATATCGTATTCAAATTTTTACCATTTAGAAGGGGGAAGGATGTCAATTAGAATGTGAGAAGTAGATGCAGGACCTACAATTTTGAGTGTTTGGCAAAACTGGGCCTGTTTATAAATTAACCCATAATAATAAGCTTTAGGAGGTAAGATTTGGTGTTTACTGCATCGAAAGCAGTGCTCATTCTATTAAAGTAACCATACAGTAGGTGGCAGTAGGCGACTAAGAGTTGTTGAAAAGGCTGTGAAGGGTGTTAGCTGCGAAAAATGTAATCAGATCTGATATCAACCCGGGATGATGATAATCGAAAACGAAAGTTAAACAAAAATTGAATCCAATAGCAAACGGCTACGGAAATAAAAGACGCTCTGAGACAAAATTAATACAAACTTTACCAAGGTTTTTAAGCCTACATAATGTTATTTTACTTTTAAAGCTACTTCACATCGAACATTTTAAACCTAAGCGTAATCAATTCCTTCCTAAACAAACACTAGGTTCGCAATTTAACGCGCGCTCGAAAGAATGGTTGAAATTTCAAAGAACGGTACCTGTGTACGTAGTAATAAACTGTATTTCAATTCACTTTGTTAGAAAGTACAACCTGAAAAAAGGAAAGAAACACAAACCTGCTTGCCTTTATCACGAAAAGAAGAAACAAGTCAGCGTTTCACGGCGACAAATCTGAGAAAGAAGGTACATGCGTAGTTGGCTTTACATTTAGAAGTAATAGGGACGTTCCCATGACGTCATTCTCTGGTGTCTCAACTGTGGGCTCATTTGGTCACGCGAAGTTTTTGATGGCCGAAACAGGTGGTCACGCGTTCTTCGATTGCTTGAAGTTACTTTGACAGAGGTTTCAATCGATAACTTAGGTGGATTTACTCGTATTTTGAATAAACGTCTCAATTTTAGGGGGGCCTAAAGGTCAATGACCAATTTATCGAATACTGACTGTAGTGCTTGCGCAAGAGATTCAAAAGAACACAATAATTTATTCATGTGACTGTTCATTTTTAGCAGTCCAAGGCGAATGAACGAGGTAGAAATAGCTCAAAAGCT